TGTTTTAGGGATCTCAAGAAAGACATATTGAAACCAATGTACATTATTTTTTATTAATTAAAAACTAATGTTCTCCACACTCTATAACAGGAAATTCAGCACTCATCCAATGAACACTATCCAGTTTCACTAATGCAACAGAATCAGTAATGCAAAACTTTTCTGCGTAAATCCACGAGCACAAGTTTCACGCAGGTCTACTCATGGCTCAGGAATGCAAAGGCAATTTGCAATGTCCTCATGTAAAGGATAAGTGATGTTGTAATGGCTGCTAAAAAATTCTTTGCTGTCACAGAAAAAATAAAATAAAAATAATTATATATAAAAATAATTATATATACAGTATATCCAATGATGGCTCTGAAATGCAGTCAAGAATACAGTGTGTGTGTGTGTGAGGGTCGGGGTCAGAAAGAAGGATGAACAAAAGAAGGGTCAGGAGGAATAGATGGAGAGGGGGATGACTGAATGCTTCATGTGATCAAGCGATGGCTGGGGTCGCTTGAAAACAAAGCTGGGTGATGAATTGTCCGCCCAGCAGACTGAAAACACTGATGCACAGAACAAAGCAAATAAACCACGCAAACTCTTCCATATATCATTAATAAATATCTACAATCTGATCTCCGAACAGCCATAGTGGAGAGAGAGAGTGGAACAGCTAGTTAACATTCTGCCCAGCGCTCCGGTGCTCAGGAGTCAACCCTGTTACCACCTCGCTCCTGTTATTTACGAGCAGCTGGGCTAATGTGCATTCCCTAACCAGTGCTTACCCGAGCGCACCCGACTTTTAGCATGCCTCCATTATTCATAACTATGTGTGCGCAGCATTTGGAAAATTGCTAATGCTTCTCTGTGCGCAGGCTTGTCTTATTTATTTATTTTTATTTATTGTTTCCCAGAGCATAATTCATTCCAGGAAAGAGCTGTCCTGCTAGAGAAGAGGGCATCACCCCAACCCGCTTGTCTTTCTTCATTTCAATTTTTCTCGCTTTTACCTTGTTTCTTTATCTACTGTTTGTGTGTTAGAAAAAAATTAATTGGTTGTTTACAGCATGTGGGATGTTACTATAGTATCACTGGTAAAAACTACACAACATATAACCAGAGACAGACAAGTCTGAACTTCAGTTGACCACAGAGAGTTCACAGACCATCTGATACATATTGCACACAGATATGACAAGCACTTTAAAATATTTTTAAATAACAAGCCAATATGTTGTTATATGTTATTATGTTGGTCAGACAACCTCTTCCTGCCTAAGTTAACGGTTCTTGGGAAGAATAACCTGCATGTTAGACTTTAAGCTGATAGTAAAACATCTAACAAGACTAGTGAGTCAGTTGACAAAAAAGATGAATAGCAGGCTACCGAGTTAATATTTCACTTACAGAAAGAGTAAAGCAAAAGCCAGGGCCAGATAATGATCCCAGATATTTATTACGAAATCCTAATGACCTTCAACCAGAGTTAATGAGGGTCTGTGTGTGTGTGTGTGTGGACTGCTGATGGAGTATCCAACAGCCTGATATTCATAGCAACAACAAAAGAACAAGAGAGATATGGAAGAGAAGGAGGAGGGAGAGGAAGAGAGAGGGAGAACATAAAGGCACGCATGAAAATCAATGGGAAGAACGATGCATGAGGATTGGCAGAAAGTGAGCGCTGTAGAAAGGGTGACAGATGATCTATAGAGGTGCCAGTCACAGCCTGCAGCCACACTTACACTATTAGAGACACAGCCGGGCAGACACGGGCCGCATTGATCTGCTCTATCTCCCTCTCTGAGAGTGTGATGATGAAATGTGAGGGTGTGAGGGTGAGCAGATGGACTGCAACATCCAGCAAACTCGGGATGAACAAGAAGAGCAGTCTTTTTTTAAGGTTGCAGGTGAAAAGGAAATGAGAAGGAAGTTTCTTATTAGGGATGGGCAGGATGGTCGATTAATTGTTCATCAGCTGACTAGATGATGGTTAGTGAGGTCGACAAGTTTTTTTTGGAGAGGTGAGGGGGGTTTTTACACTACAGTAAAACACATTCACTGCAAAAGTGTTTCAGTGACAACCTTCAATGACTGCCCAAAATGATAGTCTTATGCAATACAAGATAATAGAAATTTAGGGCCAGATTTACTAATGGTTTGTGCCAATGAAAAAAAAACACTGTCATGATTTACTAAAAATTAGTGATGAAAAGCAGTAATCAATTTACTGGTATTTGCGCCATTATTTAACACCCAAAATAAGCATGTCTTAACAGATTTTGCGCTTGACATGGCTGCGATAGTTGCTAAATTGTGCTGCTCTTGATAGATTCTAGATTGCGTTGGTCATTATGGAAATGAGCTGGCTGTGTCTGTGTTCTTTAATTTGCTCATTGTCAGTAGATCATCTGCAAAACTTTCAACTCCCATCAATGCTTTTAAGGGATGCCGGTCTCATGCCAATTTGACAACGCACATGTGTCATGGATCTTTTGTGAATGTGTGTCAGAGATCTATGCAAAAGTGACTTTTTTTGCACACACACACACACACACACACACACACACACACACAGCATTCATATCGTTTAATGAAAATGGAATAAACTGAGTCATGTGGATTACTTTTATGATGCCTTTATGATCTTTTTGGAGCTTGAAAGTTTTGGTTGAATCAACCTTCAATTGAGGGACAAAACTGTCTCAGGTGTAATTAAAAATCTTAATTTGTGTTTTGAAGATGAAAAGAAGATTTGGAATGACATGAGGGTGAGTAACTGATAACAGAATATTCGTTAATATGTGAATTACTGTAAATGGAATAAAAATACTAATCAGAAACCCTAGATGGCTCATTATTGTGGTATCACTGGTTTCAGACTCACCTGCCATTAAAAATCAAATTAACAAAAACAACAATTTGTCATTTTATATCTTTTTATCATGTTTAATCATCTATTCCTCAGTAGGGGCTCTTTATGCACTTTATGCCAACAGACAAAATTTGGTAACATTATATCATTAGTACTGTTAGCATTGGTATTAATACTAGTGAGAGTCTAAATATTAATAAACAAGAAGCAAATAGTCCGTTTTGGAAATCTTTTGTCCATATGAATACATACAACCACAATGAAACCACACACACACACACAGGCTGCAGACTGGTGTGTTTTGAGCTGATTGCTCTCTCTCTTATTATGGGATGGTGCTGTGTAATGGAGTGTGACAGAAGCGTGCACTGCAACTCTGTCCTTGCTGCCTCCTGCTCTCTCTCTCTCTCTCTCTCTCTCTTTCTCTCTCTCTCTCTCTCATCAAACTGCTCTCTTTTCCTTTACATTTTTTGGTCCCACTTTATATTAGTTGGCCTTAACTACTATGTACTTACATTTAAATGAATCATTTGGTACAATGCACTTATTGTGTACATACTAAGAACTACGAACTAAAACTAAAAAACTAAGAAGAGCCAGAGCCCCGGCCCCCATCATGTACACCTTCTTGAACCTTCCCAGGATCAGCTGGCCAACCAAAATTACTCCAAGAGCGCAACGACGACTCATCCAGAGTCGTCATAAAAGAACCCAGAACAACATCTAAAGAACTGCAGGCCTCACTCGCCTCAATTAAGGTCAGTGTTCATGAACAGGAAGGGGCCAAAAACTTTTTCACACCACTGTACATGTTTTTACATTGTACTTTTTAAAAAAATACTTATATGTAATTACATCTGTAATTAATTTCTGTAATTACATTTATAATTGAACTGTTGACCCATCCCTTACACCTTAACCCACACCTTTATACCTACTACCCATACCACCAAACCTGTCCCTAACTTTACCCGTATCCCACCTCAATAGCAGCAAAAGTGTTTTGCAATACAATATGAACACAATAAGTACATTGTACTTATTTTTTGATGTAAGTACATAGTAGTTAAGGCCACCTAATATAAAGTGTGACCCATTTTTTTAATTATATTTATATTAAAAGAATAGTTCTGTCATTTATACAATTGTCATGATTTACTGTATGGTCATGGTGGTATATATGGTCAACATTCTTTCATAGAACACAAATATATTTTAAAGAGTCTTTCCTATCAAATGAAAGAATGCAAGAAGCATGGGGTGTAAAGACACAAAAGTGCCATAAAGTTGTCCATGATATTAATATTCTATAATTTTCTGAAGCCATAAGATAGCTCTCTGTAAGGAACAAACTTCTATGCTGCAGCAGCATTATTTTAATTGCATTGAAATAATAGCATCGTTTTTATTACTATTTGGAATGTGTTTTTATTTTCAGTTTTTATTTTAATTTAAAAGTTTTAGTGTTTTTTTATGTCTTTATAGTTTTCATATTTTTGTACATCAAGTTAAAATAAATGAAAATGATAAAGTGCCTTGGCAACTACCTATAAACTAGAAATAAAATAACTATGTTTTTTTATTTTCTTTTATTTCAGTAAACTTATTTCAAGCTACATTTTTTTTGTCACAGCTCTCGAAACATATTTCATAATCAAACCTGGCACATGCTGAACTAGATTTGACATTAGTTTGAATGTACACAGGTGCAAACAGAAAGCGGTTTTATAGCTTCAGATCATTATGAATACGGCACTTGAGTCATATATATATATGCACATGTTTATGCACAAGAGCAGCATGACAAGTTTGCATCTTATCTCATTTTCTGTTGCATAAAAGAAAAGTCAATAATAAATGATGACAGAATTTTCATTCTTGGGCGAACAATTCTTTTAATTTTATGTCCTGCTTTTATGGCAGCAAACTGAACCATTATGTCTTCTCCTTTTATCTCTCATTATTTTTTACTAGTTTCTTTGATTTATCTTGCACTTTATTCAGACACAGTCAAACCTTCTTACAGCTCCACCTGAGCATGTCCCACAGAATACACAGTCTCACCTATGCACAGTGTGGAGACATGCTCCCCTATATTGTATGTGTAGTACCAAGCATAAAGTAAGTGTGAGAGCAGTACCGGTTTTGAACCATCCGTCCTCAGTGAAGGTGTCTGCTGTCTCCTGAGGTTTGTTCCAGTACTTCTGAAAGACAGAAGAACCTCGAACCAACAGCTCGCCCTCCTTCCCTTCCAAACCAGCCTTCACCTGAAAAAAAAAAACACACACACATCGGTCTAGACACTCAAAGGAGTACAATGTCAGTAGGTCTTCTTCATTAATAACGGTGTACATACAGTAAATACAAATTTGATCTTATATTTTAATAAATGTAAATGCATACTTATAGTTAAATCTTGATTTTTTTTTTGTGAGAACATTTGTACAGGTTTTATGCACAAGAAGGTGTGCACATACACTTAGTGAATGACTGTCTGTCCACCTTCTTCTGTAAAATTTTACTGCATTTTAAATTATGGGTAGTACTTCCAGTTTGGGGAACTTCCACTCATGGCTGAATGACTGAAACGAATAATTTCAAATAATAGGCTACAAATAATCCTTATCAGCCAGTTTGATAGATGTACAACTCTTTTTTTTACAACTCTATTTTTATTTTATTAAATAATGCAACACTTTTACATTAAATAATGTAACACAATTAATGTGACATTGATATCACAACAACATCTGTGATAAAAGATTGTTTTTCAGTTCGCTGTGTACTGTTTCTCCTGATTATTTACTTTTTTTTTTTTTGGACCTGCTGTATTACTATGAAAAAGACATCAGAAACTGCACAGTTGTGATCTGCTCTCATGTTTTTCTCTCCAAATCATCACCCTTAACTCTTTACCATTTTTTCACACAGTGCCTGTTTGCACTTCTAATCCCTATCAGCAGTGTTTACTAGAATATTTCAAAGGTGGAATATACAACATTTATAAAGGAAAAATTAAAATGAAGGAAAGCACTTTGACGTACATAAATATCCAAGTATTCCATGACAGAACATTTTTGATTCACACAACATACGCATAGGTTACATAATATAGACTTATATACTATACAGCAATATTGAACACATCCACAATATTGCTGCAGAAAACCTCACCTGAGCTTTTGGAGTTATTAATGCTCTGGTGATAGTAACTTGTTAAAACTTTTCTTTTGATGTCAGTCGCTCATTGTTTACAGTTTAATGGAAGTTATACCCATAATTCGTGTCATGGGCCATAGGAAAAAGGCGGATAGCAATACTTATTTTCTATAGGAAAAACAGAGCGCTCCTATAGGTACCCGGGTTCCTTTGCTGTTGCCCTCAGCGATGATAGCGTTGGTGGTGTTTGTCATCATGATACGCACTTCCACTCCTGGCAGAGGCACTCCAACAGCACCTGGAAAAACACACACAGGCAATTTTATTAAATACAACTTGTATTATTTTTTCTTTTATTTTCGTGGCTTATATGCAGTCAAACTATTAATTTACCATGTTCTTATTGCGATGTAAAGCATGAATTATATAGCAATTCCTAAAAAAGGTAATGGTAAACTTTTATTTAATTACTAATTATAACTGATTTCTTGTTGATTTTGATTTGGTTCGGAGAAGCTTCATTTTGGATGCTGGGAGAAATAATACTTAGGGTGTATTCACACCAGGAAAGTCCGCTAGTTCACTTGCTTTGGTCCGGACCAAATACAATGTTGATTTTTTTTTGCTTGGTGCGGTTCGCTTTCACACTGCCCTTTTTGCAAGTGAACCAGAAACTGTAAACAAAACCACACGTGTGCTTAAGGTCATCCATTCATTGGTTCATCCATTCAACCGTACCAGAGTTAGTTTGGAAGCGGACCTCTTCAGCTGGGTCTCGGTTACGGTTGTTTGCTCCGCACCCGAGTATGACTGCTGTATTCACACCTGTCCAAAAGATCCGCACCAAGGGGGGAAACGAACTTGAGTTCAATTCAATCGAACCAAACAAGACAGGTATGAATACACCCTTAAACTCTTCTAGCAAAACCTTCATTATCAAATCTCAATGTTCCAGCATCTCAAACACAGTAGTGTTTGGAGGAAAAATATCAGCCTACTGTAAAACTGGATCAATCTGTCTAAAAAATAAATTCTGTCTGCACTGTAAAGCTGTAGCACAGATATACAGAGCTGAAGAGATGTCTTACTCCTATATACACGTTATGTGAAATCTGACCATTAGGGGCTTGAGTGTGAATATAAATGAGATGGGGGCTGATTTGAGGTCTATGCACGGTGTCCACTGGGATATGATTGCGTGCAAGTATATACTGGAATGTGGTTGTCCCTGTAGCAGCATTCCTGTCACAAAATGAGAAAAGGACACAATAGCTCACAGACTGCTTAAAGAAGCCATTAAAAAGCCTCCAGTCCCTCTGCCCATCACAAGCCCTCATTAAAACAGAGGACACACACACACACACACACACTCATGTTTTATTCAAAGCTTTTCGCACAGCATTCCACACTGTGCCACCATAGGGAGTGGCAGCACCCGCTAGTACAACACGGAAAGAAAAAGAACTCATGCGCATTGCTACTATTGGCACAACTAGATTTGTTTTTCTGAATGGCTTGTTTAACTAGATTTCAACATTTTTTTGAAAATGTCAGTGGTGTTTGCCTGTGGTAAATTTAAAGCTGTATCACATCCTAAGTACGAAAAAATAACAGTAGAATGTAGCAGTTGAACTTCCATAATTTAGTATCACTTGTTAAATAGTTTATTTATTCTGGACAATTGATGCATTTCATTTTATGTTGCCCTACAAATATTTATTTATTTATTTAAATGACTTGTTTACTCCAGTCGCACAATTTTACTTCTTTATTTAACTTATTTTGTAACATTTCTCATTGTATTCAGCTATGGTAAGCTTTGGTAATACAAATGCAGTTTCTGTCACGCCAATAAAGCACACCAAAATTAAATTGAAAACAGATAGAAAGAGAGTGCAGAAAGTGAGTCATGGTAAGAAAATAGAGGTGGAGAATTTGGTGTGGAGCAATTACAACAGAAATTTATCAAATGAAAGAGTAAGAGAGAGATGAAGGTTTGAAAATGTGTGAAAATCAATATAAATGTTTATAAATAACATCTATTTATAAAAACAAGCTCTCTTGCTTGTGTTTTAAAATGAAAGCTGAAAAATTATGTTTTGTATATTTGCACACCATGCCATATAATTCTTTTGTGCCTTTATGATACAATTACTACATAAAGATATTAACAAGAAATGTAATTAATTATTAAATACATTTAATTAAGATGTGTCACTCTTCTGCTAGAAAATATAGACCCTCACTAAGTTGAATAGCTGGCTTATGGGTGCTACACAGTGATATGCACAGTGGCTAGATAAACATGTGTTTTATATCATAGCTGATACTATTCATTTTTATAATTAACATTTGCAATAGGTCTTAAAATATTACAATTTAATTCAACTAGAACAATGCCTAATCTAGTCTAGGAGTTTTTGAGTGCTTTTTAAAATTGGTAAAATCAAGAATCACAAACTGACTGAAAAGAAAATCCAAACCATTTCTTCAAGAGACTTTTTAATCTCAGTTTGGATTAGATTATGTTCTGTTACAACAAAGATTGAACTATGATTTGGTTCATACTGCCACACACATTAGATCAAACTCATCATAATTCATGGACGTCTCCTCTGGTGATCACAGTCAACCCTGTGACTGATATTGATCGACTTCAACCTACTTTTGAATTAGACAGCCTCACACAGGCGTCTCGTGGGGCCGAGCAGGAAATGTTAACAGTTGCAAACTCCTCTTAATCATCACCTCCGAGCATTAACATTAACTTTAACCATTTTTCCTCCGAACTCTTCACTAATAATACAACAGAGTACACAAACTGCCTCTGACAGCCACGTTAGCACCTTCACTCACAAACACGTGTCGAAAGGCGAACAAAACAATCCTCAGACACCCAGAGCAATGCAAGAAATTGCAAGAAGAGCACTGAAAGTGCTTTGGTACTGACACTAAAAGAAGACGTGGAAGTTGACGGGAGCAGTTTGATCAGTGCTACATCACTCAGAAAGACCCATGGAGAGTTTCTCAGAAGATAATCACACGTAAACAACAAAACACAGACGAAAAAAAGACAAACAAACTACTTCAGAACGGAGGTTGATCTGTGACAACTTGGCATCGTAAACTGTCTGAGAAAAAAAATACTTATATAGAGATGACTCATTAGAGCTAAACATCAGTAGAAGAAAAAGTAACAAAGCCGAGATGATTAGAAAGATTTAAACTAGCTCTATTTCAGAGTCTGGCAGAAGGAAGAGGCATGTAATACTAAAAAAAGCTATCCGTCGTTCATATTCACATTCATCTAAATGGCAGTTGATTGGTCAGATTTGAATTCACTTATTGTATACAGCAAACATTTAACATGGTAACCATAGTTAACAACCAAAATACTATGGTTATTACTCGGGCTGTCGATATACTGGTATTGAAGATAACCATGATTTCTTAAAATATAAAATACTGATATCATAATATTAATACAACACATATGATAATCATAAATAATTCAGCGCCAGTATTTTATTGTTGTTGGTAGTCACATTTATGAAGTGATGCAGTACCAGGTACACGTGGCCCCTTAAGTGGATTTGACAGTGCCATGCCAATCTCAGTCATGCCGTAGCGCTCCAGCAGCACATGACCTGTGATCTCTGCCCAACGCTCCAGGACAGGCTGTGGAAGAGCAGCAGAACCAGACACCATCAACCTGAGAGAAAGCGAAAGAGAAAGAGAGAGAATTGGCCATTATTTAATTTTACACACTTTTTTTTTTTAAGTTGGAAATTATGCATTGGTTGTTTTCTTCAAAAAGTCTTGTTTCGCCATTTGACCCTGAGGTAAAGTACACCGAAGCTTACGCGACTGAGCCAAATAAAGGGTTGAATGCTTCTCTTTGATGTAGGTTTACTGAAGAATAAAAGAGAATTTTGAGGTAGATGCTCTGGCTGGTTGCATCTGAAGACAGATGCTGTGAGTCAGGATTCTAGCTAAATTAGTGTGGTGTTTTAAAAGAGAAAGAGAGAGGATGGTACCGTATTCTCTCTTTGCACACAGCTCTGATGAAGTCTTGGACTCGAGGCTGAGTGAAGTGTTGGTCATAATATTCAATGAGTTTAGAGTAGATGGTGGGAACTGCCATGAATACATTCACCATGGGGGACTTTGAACTGATCAACTGCTCCCAAACCTGAAACACAGCAAAACCAAACAAACAAACAAAAACAAAAAAAAATCAGCATTCAAGCATTATCAACCAAATGTGTAACTGAACAGTTTAATATAAATATAACAGGAAATAAATTAGCCTAATTTGCAAATAATAATTGCAGCGTGTTTTAATACTGTAGTTGTGTACTGATCTAAATGTTGGCAAATTCATTAACCAATAATTATTTTTGTTTTAACACGGCATGTTCTACCATTGTAAAGTTGGGCTGGTTAGTATCAGCAGTTTGACGTTAGATAATGTAACTCCCCTATCTGGTGGCAAAAAGAATCTTTCTCTCTTTTGGAAGGCTCTTAAAAGACACTGATCACTATTTTTTTTTTTTTTCTTTTATAACAGATACAGATATAAATATTAAGTTTTAAATAGCTGATATGCACACAAATTTTGCAATATTTATGTGTTACAATAATTAACTATAGTTAACTCAGTAGGCTACAACAATTATTATTATTATTATTATATAAAAGATAGCCGTTTCTCACAATGAATGATAATTATTATAACTGAGTGAAATGTAAATATCAATAAAAAATATCCTGTAGGTCAAATTGGAAAAAAAAACGAAAAAAAAAAAACCTCGGAATTGAGAAGATTGCAGGATGTTGCCAGCTGCCACTGAGATGAATGGGAATACTAAAAGATATTTTCTGCAGCTTTTACAGACTCCCTTAGTTCACAATAGGTGAAATCAGACATCAAAACATTTAAATGTAGAATAGAAAAATATACTTCTATAACCAAAAATGTTTGAATTGGATAAAAAAAAACAAAAAAAAAACAACCCTGATATTATTTGCTTCCAGTATCGGCCTAATCAGACCGTTACGGTTAATTACAGGAACAAAAACCAATACAGATACTGATTAAGTCACTGATTGTGCATCCCTAGTGTTATTTGTCTTGATGACTATATAAGCTTGGGGGGAAAGGTTGTCGACTGGAGGAATGTTGTTAAAAAAGGAAAAAGCGAGTATAGATTTGTAAAGGTCAGTGTGATTCACAGCAGAAGAGAAACAGTTCAGATTCCCTGTAGAGCTACTACTGAGGTCAGAGTGAAGAGTGCACTGTGCAGGACACACTGGGCTTTTACAGCGTTTCTCTGCTTTTGATGAATGTGTTGCGTGAAGCATAGTGAAGGACGAAAGACCCAATCCCCGCCACACACACCCACACTCATCCCAGTCTGTCAGACGGAAACAGATGCAAGTAGACAAGCAGCATAACTGCCGATATAAACATACTTCTCATGCAGGCACACAAATCAATTACAGAGCATCTAACTTTACTCTCTCATTTCATTCACATACTTTCATTGTACGACATACATGAGACACATGAGAATGAAAGGCTGTACAATGGATGATCAAACATGAATGTGTAGGATTCACACATAAAAGTTACAATATAACAATTCTGTCCTTTTCATCTCTCACAGTCTCACAGTCAGGCAGCACGCCTGGCTGCACCTTTAGAACACAGTGGGAGAAACGCATGAATTAATTGAAGGTGAACGACAGATTCTCCTTGGCTCTGTCCCCCCTGGGAGGCACACATCTCCCCCCGCCCTCTCTCTCTCTCTCCATTTCATTATTTCCTGCTTCAGTACCTC